CAAAGTCAAAACTGTTTTTCTCTCTTCATTAAGGTCTTATTTGGCCTTTTCACTACCTGACATCTGCTCTGATGGTACAAAAGCGCTGCTGGAGCCTTAGTACAGATCTTCACTTCTGTGGGCCTACATTTCAAGCAAAATTTTAAAAGGCAGCTTCACTTCGGAATGCCCAAGATGAAGCAGTGAAAATTACTCATTTTATTGAATTGTGACTTTGTACTCAAAAAGATATTCTACATAAAGAAATGGGAAGCAGTATACCAAAGTACAGTGCTTATTTTGACAAGCACATGTGTGTTTGCATGAGTTTTAGCAAACTAGCTCTGCCCACTCCTGCTATACATCATTTTTACTTGACAAAATGAGTGGTTGACAAACTACTGTGTGATTATTATTTAATCAATATTTTCTTAAACCAATATTTAGTATTTTTTCAAGTGAAATAAGTCTGTTGAAGGAAAATAGCTGACAGTATTTGTTGTCAATATTAGAAGTTTGGAAAATTTTTATCTACCACTAGGACCATAATAGCCTTCTAATACTTAAAAAGGCTGTTCTGGTAAAATAGGTGGCGATACTAACAAATTTATTCTTTTTCATGTTGTCTAATGAAATGTGTGAACATTTAGAAGATCTATATAACTCAGTATTTTGCATATGCCTAATGAATAATGATGGAAAATATGTGTTGAAGATCAATTCAAACCAGAAGATAAATGAAAGAGTTTTAATAGAGTATAAAAATTCATTTGTAAGTTTCAGATTTCATATTGTGACTAACCTTTAAGAAACCATCATTTGTCATATTTTAGAGAATATCTACAATTACCTGAAGATAAAACATGCCTTCTTTTCCATGTATAAATATATCTGTATGATAAATGGCTTCCATTTCCTTCAAAACAGTACATCACAATTGATTCAGTAACTGAAGCAGGCATAAGAATCCAGCTATCTTCTACCAATCCCAGCTCTGAGACTTGTAAAATGTCAAAATAATGACACTAAAATATTTTGTTTTGGAAAATAATTTTTTTCATAAAAATATGTTATGATGTGAGGAGTTTATTGTCATATTAGAATGAATGTATATTTTAAAGCCTGTTGATTAATTGACTTCTTAATGTGAGACAAGCTCTCGCTGTGCTCTGTAGGCTCAAGTGTCACTCTTTGGTTCAAGTGACCCTTCTCCCTCAGCCTCACTTGTACCTGGGACTGCAGGCACCATGCCACTACATTTGGCTGAATTTCTAATTGCAAGGTGGTCATTGCTATGTAAACAAAAGCCTTTTGGAATCTTCAGTTACTATTTTAAGGGTTCCAGAATCACTGGACTAAAACCAACTTGAAGGTAGTTGGGAGAGTTGCAAATCAGTGTTATTATACTTTCGCATTTGTGCAAAAAGAGCTGTAAACGAGACACCTAATTATTTTGTGTAGGCATACAGTTCTTCTGGAAGGATATGAGAGAATTAGAGTTGCTTCAGGGAAGAAGGGGTGAAAAGTCAAACTCTAAATGGCTTTGAGCTGTTTTGAATTTTAAACCAAATGAATGCATTACTCCTTGCACACACAGAGAGACACAGGAAAAAATAATCATTCCTACCCAGCTATAATTATGAATTTCAGAGAGTCTAGGCATATTATAAAAAGTTGGAGCAAGTTTAGAGTAATAGTTATTTTTCTGGCAGCTTGCTTTTTCTTGTTTTGTTTGAGAAAAAATTTTCATTTAACTTCCAAGTCAACCACTATAATATTGAAATAATGTAAATCAAGTTAGGTACCAGTTTTCCCAGTGGGGCTTAAAGTATAGTTGTTACTTTGTTTTAAGGAAGAACAATTTGATTAACTTTTTAAGAATGGCTTTTATTTCTAGATTTTAATGGTATTTATTTCTAGTTTGCTAAAAAAGATTAGGTTTATTTGTTAGTCTTTATGTGTCTTTAGTATATGTTACAGTCTTTTCATTTCAAAAGGTTTGAGTTAAGTGCTGCATGAAATGTAAAAGAAAAAAGTATTCTGACAGTTGTTTCAATGTAAAAGGTGCTTTTTAATACTCATAACCTTTGGGCTTTGGGAATTCTTAAAAAGGATAAGTAAGGAATTCAATTTTATTCTGCTTGCTTTTAAATATGCCTTTTGATCAGTGTTCATATTTTTAACTTTTGGATAAAGTGTGTATGAAAAAGGAAAGTTATTTTAATGCCGTAACTTCTGTGATACTTTTAAATATGATGATACTTTTAAAATTTCTTTGAATGCTGAAATATTTCAAGAGCTGTTTGAAGCAGTTTAGAAGAAGAAATGCATGTAATTCTGTTCATTAATGATAGTTAAAAGTTTATCTTAACATGGAACCATTTTCCCCAAGTTCTTTAAAGAATGCTTTTTAAAATGTTAATGGATTTTTCTAAAGTATTTGGCAAATGAGTTGCTAATTCAGAAAGGAGGTTTTTTTTTTTTTTTACTGTTACCAGTTACATGTACAGTACTTGACATTTGTCAAGCACTTTCATGTTATTTTCTTTGATTCTCAGCATATCTTGGAAGTAGCACAGTTATTTTTCCTGTTTAGTATTGGCCATTGAAATTCAGGGGGTTAACTGACTTGTCCAGTGTCACATAGCCTTGTTAAATAGTGGAACAGGAATTTAGATTTATACAAGGCTAGATTAGATTTAAAGTTGAGATTTCAACAAGACTCTGTCCTTATCTTTACTGTGTTCTAGGTACTCTGGTCAGGTGGAAATAAATAAAGCACAGACCCTGCCCTCCAGGGAGGGGCTTTTTAGTTAGTTCTAGAGACCAGCCTGGATGTGAGAAGTACAGTGTGTGTGGTATATCATTGCAGTACCGTGGAGCGCCATTATTTGAGAGGAAGTAAGGTAAATCTTGAAGGATGACTGGCAGCTGGCCAGGGTGAGTCTAATTAGGGGCAGGGAGAGAGACATTTATGTAGAAAGAATCATCTGGGAGGCCTGAAACTGCGCAGATGATTGGAACCTGCTGGTAGTTCGATGCCAGCACCATGCTGGACTGTGTGTGAGGAGCAGCAGACTGAAGCCAGAGAGGCAGGTAGGCAGAGAGAGAGGCCCCAAGTTGTGAAGTTTGAACTTGCATTAAAATTTCAAGGTGCCAAAAAGAGAATTTAAATAAGTAGAGAACTCAGGTTGACCATGGTTCTTAGGCTTGTTAGCTGTGGAGTGATAGTCATCAAATGACTGAATATTTCTGAGTCCCATTTGCCTTGTATGTAAAATGGAAATAACAGTTGCTTTGCAGGCAATTAGGGGGTCTGGGAAAAGAAATGGAAATAAAGCATGAAGCATGTATCAAATTTGTAAGGACTGTTCTCAGTAAATTGGAAAATGAATTGAGAGAAGTAAAGACAGTTCCACATACATACTTAAACTTCTAAGTAGAACTGAAAAAAAATGTAATCTTATTTTAAAATAGTATTGAAATATTTGGACATTTCTAAAATAATTTAGCCATGGCTTTATAGTTTCTTACTTTTAAATTTAATATTTAGCAGCGCTTTAATGTGCCATATAAATATCCTTGAAAATTAAGGCTTTGTGTAAATTCTGTTTTGTTTGTGTGATGTTTTTACCATGCCCAATACCCTGACCCAGGAGTGTAGACCTGGATGGTATTTGTTAATGCTCTAGTCTTAGGCAAATGTACTGTCTCATTCAGATTTCTTTAATATTAAAATTTTAGAGAATGAAATAGTACATGGATGATCTTGTATAAAACTTAGTTGTCACTTGGGCTGCCACAATAAAATGCCACAGACTTGGATGACTTAAATGACAAAAGTTTGCTTCTTACTGTCCTGGAGGCTGGCATTCCCCAGGTCAAAGAGCTGGCTGGTTCAGTTCCTGGTGAGGGCTCTCCTGGCTCGTGACTGACAACCTTCTCACTGAAGCCCCCACATAGCCTTTCCTCTGAGCCATGTGGTGGGGGCGAAGGTGGGGTAAGCGAGCTCTTTGGGGTCTCTCTGCATGAGGGCACTAATCCTGTAGGACCGGGGCCCACTCATAGGACCCCATGTAGACTCAAATACTTCTTTACCTCAAATAGAGCTGCACTAAGGCTTCAAAATACATTTTTTCATTCCTACCGGGGATTGAACTCGGGACCTTGTGCTTGTGAGGCAGGCAGTAGAACTACTGAGCTAAATCCCCAGCCCTCAAAATACATATGTTAAATTTGGAGGGACATACACATCTTTCTGTAACACAATAAAGTTGGAAGTGTTCTCTTGATGGTTTTGTGACTTGGTATTTTGTAACAATGAGTTAAATAGGCAGTGATTACATCATACTACTCTCCAGAGCTGCAAATATATGGATCATCTTAGTTCCTGCTTTTTAACTAATATTTATAGTTGGTTAGCTACAGAAACTTTTTACAGCCAAGTTAGTATAGAAAACTGAATGTTACTGTGCCTAAGGTAACTACAGAAACTCCTTAGTTATTCTAACTCTATTGTGCCTATTCCACTTCTTGAGTTCTTCCTTGCCCCCATTCTGGTCCCCAATAGTTTGGTTCCTGTAGAAGATATCTGTATAATTCAGTGATAATTTTTATAATTTGCTTGTCTTCATTTTGAATACCTTTTTTCTCAGTAAGAGAACAGATCTTTTAATTGACATGTTGAGGGTATACATTTTTTTGATTTTTTTTTTTTTTTGGTACCAGGGATTGAACTCGGGTCCTTCCGCTTTTGAGGCAGGCAGCGGGACCACTGAGCAAAATCCCTGGCCCCAGAGGTATACATTTTTTAAAGATGGTTAAACCAAAGCTGTTTTACATAGCAATCTTTGGAACAAGATAGAAATCCTAACTTAAATGTATCAATATATCTCCTTTTCTTTATTGTGAATCTCAGTATGAATTTTTGATTCCTTCTAAGTCTGTTTGCATTTCAGATTGTGGAGGAAGGACTTTAACCTGGTTTTCCACAATGATAACATTTACCTTCTTTTTCACAGGCCAGCCCTCCAGATCTCTATATTGAAAGATTTAATATAGCTCTTGGACAATATATGGGAGCATTGCAGAGCATTGTGCCTCTTTTCATATATATGGTAAGTTCAAGCTGCTTCCTACTTTCAAAAAGATGCAGAGTTAAACGTGTTCTATTTTTCTTATACTGTATTTTGTGTAATTTTGAGAAGTGGAAATTAACTTATTTCAATAATGTTTTATAGCTGACACAACTATTTTTCCCTTTTTCTGATTTGAAATTCCATAAGTAACATTTGCTGAATTAATGATCAGCAATCACACAATGAGCTTTTATTTCTGTCATGTGGAAGGTTACTGTGCTTGGTCCTGGAAAAATAAAGAAATACAGTCCCCGGCTTATGAACATTTGAGTTACAAACTTTCAGATATGTACTGTATAAGACTCACTTTGTAGAATTATGAACAGATTCAGTTTATGAACGTTTTCCTGGAACAGAACTCATTTGTAAGTTGAGGACTTACTGTATAAGATTTCCTTAGAAAGAGGAGAGTTCAGGCAAACACTTAAAAATATGTGTGATAAATGTGAAGTAAGACTTTCTGTAAAAAGTAAAGCAATAAAATATTAATTCCCCTCTGATGATCTCTTTTATTTGTAGAGTTATGCTGTGAGTATAATTTGTAAACTATAACTTGTTAATTAGTTTTCTCCCCCTTATAAATATATAAAGTTGGGCTGTGCCACACAATGCCTGCCTGGAAAGCGTGAGGCGCTGCTTTCGATTCCTGACACCAAATAAATAAATATAAATAAATACATAAAGTTTTGGAATCTTAATGTTAGTGTTCCTGCTGAATGGAAGGGCCCCTAGAAGCCGTTATTACAACTTCTCTTTGTTTTTTAGATTAGAGAACTAGATGTTTGGTTGATCCTACCTTCTGTAGCATGTACACTGCTGTGTGTGGAATACCAATCTTAAAAATGATCATTTTTCATAAAATATACTTTTTTAAAAAGCAGAAAACAACTACCCCCTCCTACCTCCAATTTAGAAGGCACTTTCCAAAAGATCTTATTGTACTCCTTAATTTCATTTAAATCTACTCATTCTTATTTTTCATTTAAAAATAATAATTCTTTGGGTACTACTAATCATTTTAAAAGTTAATCAGAGTTTTACAGTTAATATAATGCAGAAGAAACTTGGTTTTGCCTTCTATTTGTTTTTTTTGGTACTAGGAATCAAACTTGGGACCTTGTGCCTGTGAGGCAGGCAGCGGAACCACTGAGCTAAATCCCCGGCCCTGCCTTCTGTTTTTAACCAAGATTTGTCTTGGAAAAAATTGATAAAAAGGCTTTGCTTTTGGTTTAATTACCAGAACTCCTTTGTGAATTGTGAAACTAGTCAAAATATTATCTCTATAAAACAATTATTTTATCTTTTATTCTTGTATATAAACTACAGGTATCAAATAGATATCTGATTTAAAGTGTACTGTCAGTTCAATTATGTTCTGAGTTTTGATTTAAAAATCAGTTATGAAAGTAGCTAGATAGTTGATTTTTTAAAAAATTATTATTTTTTTTTTGGTACTGGGGATCGAACCGGGACCTTGCGCTTGCGAGGCAGGCAGCAGAACCACTGAGCTAAATCCCTAGCCCCTACATTTCTCTTGTTATAAATAAAGCTTGGCATATTTTCATAGTTTGCATATCTTTTTCTGCAACTGCAGAAATTATTTAAGCCCCATTAAAAATTAATTTTAAATAAACTTAAACCAAGTATTTATTTCTGGGCAGGGAAACAATTTCTTAGAAAGGAAATACGGCAGACTTTTGATAAAATTCATATGGGAAAAGAATGAAACTAATAGCTATGAAAGCTGCTAAAGTGACAAATGAGAGGTGATAATCCCTCACTGGTATTGAAATGAATGAGAAAGCTACAATAAGTAAAGGGTATGTCATTGGCTCTGGGATAGACAGATCAAGGCAAAGGAAACCAGAAAACACTGAAGCATATGTGGCATTTTAATAAAGAAGACATTTCAGATCAATAAGAAAGGCTCAAGGTGTTCCTTAGCTGGTGTTGAGACAACTGATGGTCACTTTGGAGAAATGGAATAAGTCTTTAAAAATGAAATATTAGAGAACCAGAAGGAATCAAGCAGCCTTGGGATGAGAAAATGCCTTTCTAAGTGACACCCAGACCTACAAGTCATGACGGAAAATACTAGACCATGACAATATAAAGTTTAAAAATGTTTGTGTAGTAAAATACCAGAAGCAAAACATAAGTGGGGAAAAATTGCAGTAAATTTGTGCAATGTGAGACAGATTTATTTTCTTTAATACTCAGTTTTCATGAATTAATTAGAAAAAGATCAACCCTGCTTTTCTGTTGAACAATGGACAAAGGAATATGAATAGATAATTCACAAAAATATAAATGACTTATAAACACGATACTACATCCAACATCCTGATTAAGGAATGGCACATTAAAATAGAACAACTTTTTAAAAACTTTTAGTAAAATTGAAAAGGTCTGATAATATTCAGTTCTGGTGAATCTGTAGGGGAATAAGTCTACACTTTTGGCAGAAATGTTCGTTGGTATTCTCTTTGGAAGGCTCAGGAATTATATCTAGAAATATAAATAAACTCATAAGCAAATACAAATACTGTACATATGTTTAAGAATTATGCAGTATTGTTTTTAATAGAACAAAATTGGGCCTGGGAAAATTATTGGGACTAATAAATGGAAAACAGAAGAGAAATATGCAGTTAAAAATAATGATGTGAGTGTTCTTTTAGAGAAAAATTGCCTGGGATACAGTGTTAGGGTGAAAAGTGATATATAAACAGTGTATAATATTTCTTCCTTAGCAAGTGTTTTCTTAGGGAAAAAAGTACACACATATAAGGAATAATACATATTAGAAATAATGTATAATAATTTTCCCAGTATGGAATGGAACCTTTGGGAAGAGGACCTGCAAATGATATAGGGGAAATAATATAACTCCCAGCCTGGTAGATGTCAGATATACTGAATTCATGTTCCCCAGAATCAAAGAATGAATTCTAAGGAGCAACGGTGGTGAAGAGCAGGAAATATTTATTGCAAGGAAGAGATTTTAGCACATGAGAGCCAGGAGGGGACCCAAATGGGTTGTCAGGGACCCCACTTCACAGGGCAAGTCTTACAGAGCAAAATCACGAGGTGGGTACAATGTGGGACAAAATTATGATCAACTTGTGAGGTTACAAGTACAGCCGCTTAGGTAACATTGATCCAGTGGGTAAGCAGGTCACATAGTTAAGTGTACATGGAAAGAAAGAATTTTTTTAGGAAGGGATGGATCTGGAGGTCTTGGTCACCCACCAGCATGACTGGTGTCTCTCTAGACTTTATTGGGTCAGGTGTTGCCACTCAGCTTATCCCTTGGGGAAGTACGTAGGCCTGGTCATTCCATCTTTATCGTGAGGCCTGGCTTCCAACAGATATGTCGCCAACCACAGTTGTAATGTGTTCTCATCTCTGCTCTGCCTCCCTCGAGGGCCCAGCCCTGTCTGACTGTCTGTACTATTTCTACCTAATTTATATCTCTAGAAATAACTGTACTGATCCCAGGCTCCTAGGGCAGAGAAGGTGAGCCAGTCCCAGCACCTGGAAGGAAGCTCCCCTGTTGCCATCCCAAGCTCCTAGGGCAGAGAAGCTGAGCTGGCCCCAGATCCCGGAAGGAAGCTCTCCTGTTGCCATCCCAAGCTCCTAGGGCAGAGAAGGTGAGCTGTGTGGGCGCCAGAAGCACCCCCTCCCTTGGAAATGAGAAGACACATAAACAAGTCTCAAAAACAGACTTCTGAATCACCTACAGCAACCCCAAAGGGAAACGAGATGGAACAATCTGATACTCAACCACCTGGACTCTCTGAACTGGCAACAGAAAAGGA